TGGGAAAGACCTCCTGGTCCATAGCTGTGCGTGTGACGGGGCATGCAGGAGCGGCTTGTCACTTTGTGCCGTGGTGCGCATCATGCTCTGTGCACTACCATTTAGGTGTTTGGTTATGAAAGCTTAGCAGGCATCAGAATTGCTTGTCAAGTGGGTCTCTGGGCCTCGTGGGCTGTCTCCCCTGGGCCGTTCACCTCTCCCAGGCCGGCCAGGTGGCACTGCCTGTGGCTGCGTCCAGGGGCTGCGAGGTGCCCAGGCACAGCTTTGTAGGCTGCCGCACGCCAGCACCTGCGTGCTCTGGAAGGGCAAGCTGCTTGCTCTAGTCACCCCGCCTGCGAAGTGGGCATAAAAATAGGACCTGCCCCACGGAGCTGGCGAGAGGCTAACATGAAACGCAGTGCTCGGCAGAGCGTCTCGTGCATGAAAGCCGTCTGCAGATGTCCCCGTGCTTCATACGGGTGAAAACGGAGCTGTGTGTGCGTGTGCAAGTCCAGCGCGTCCCGCTGGGGCGAATTTTGATTTGTCTTCGTGCTGTAAGGAAAAAGCCCAGTAAGGAGCATGTGGCGATCGCTGACAGTGCGCAGCTGAGCGCTGTTAGCGAGGGGTCCCCTCTCCCTCAGTCTCTCGGGGGCTCCCCGCGGTGGGGGGTCTGGTTCCGTGCGGCAGGTGAGGAGACCGCAGCCGAGACGCGACCAAGGTCCCACGGCACGACCCCGGCGGCGCTTGCCGTGAACTCGACGCCCGAGTTCCACCCAGGGGGCTCTCGGCTGGACCTTTGTCGCCCTGCCCCGTCAGGCCCAGGGAGCCGGCCTGTGGAGACTGGGACGCAGTCAGAGACCCCCTTTCCCGGAGGAGGTCCCGGGGCACAGATGCGATAGGTCCCACTCTGAGGCGCAGACCAGACGCCCTGCACCACCGAGGGTCTGGCGGCGTCTCAGCTGTCCCGTGGACCGAACGCACCGTCTGTGAGCCCAGCCACAGGGGGAGGCAGGCTCCGGCTCAGGCACCGCTTACGCGGGCCTCGTGTGGGAAGCCGGCGGCTCTCCCAGCCCTCCCGCCCGCAAGGTGGCCTTGGGGGCCCGCAGCCGGCGGCCCCAGGGAACCGAGGGTCTGGGAGTCAGCAGAGCGCCCGAGGCCCACGCTCCCCGCACTGCAGACAGCCCTGCAGCATGGGACTGTGCCCCACACCCGCTGACAAAGGCAGCCTTGACTCCAGTGTGCCTCCCTTGGCACCGTGGCCTGACCTCCCAGCAGTGGCCGCGTCTCTGCAGCCTCATGTGGCATTCCGAGGGCTCCTACGGTGGCACCTACTCCCTCATTAAAACCCCAGGAAGCCCTGAAACATTTGGTGGCGAGTAGCCAGAAGCATGCTGTTCCCCGGGAAGGGAGGGGCACGCCCGGGCCGCAGAGGGCGCCGACGGCTCACAGAGCCTGTGCTCAGCAGTTACGTGTGGGATGGCCGTCAGGGGGCAGATGGGTTAAATGTCACCTTAGACTAGGCTCTCCAAGGGGACATGCGTGGGGGAAGTTCCCTGGTACATGGCCACAATACTGATAGGACAAACAGAAGCTCTTTGTCCCTTTGTGCTGTGGTTCTCTGTGCTGTGTCAGGCCCCTGGCTCTCAAACCTGAGCATCCCCCCAGGGAGCTGGGAGACCTTGCCGGGCCAGTGATGGGCTGAGACCCATGGTCACCAGGCCTGGCACATGATAGGTGCTGAACAAATTTTTGTGCAGTGACTCCTTCTCTTGTAAAATGGATCCGATGACATTGACTGGACGGACGGCAGGGTCGTGCGGGTGGACGTTTTGTAAAGCTATATGGTGTGCGAGGTTGTTCCCTTCCCGCCTTCCCAGCTGCGGGCTGACCCGGGAGGGCAGGGAGGCTCCCTGGGGTGCTGGCCTGGCCCTCTGGGCGTTCTCTGCCAGCCCAGCAGATGGCAGCCTTTGCCCCGAGGCCGGGCCTCCCGCGCTGGCAGCCCTTCCCCGCAGCACGGCTCTTCCTGCAGAGGAGTCAGATGGCTGCGGCGGGGGTCCCAGCGGATCCGCGCCAGGTCATACTCATTCGTCCCGAGTCACCTGTCTGGAGCAGGTGGTGAAGGCAGGGCCGACCCACAGCGTGCCAGCGTCAGAGCCTGGGATCTGACGTGCAGACTCGCCTCTGTGAGGAAAGTGTGTCCATGTCTCATTCTTTGCCGTCTCTGCCCCGGGCCCGGGCCCCAGGCTGTCCTGGGTAAATGACGCCCTGGTCACTGCTGGGCAGCTGGAGAGAGAAGCGAGGGAGGTGGCAGCCCTGGGGACTGTGAGCAGGGAGGCAAGTGGGCCCAGGTGAGTGAATGTCCCCGGGCAGCCTCTCGGACAGGTGGCCATTCACCGAGACAGGAGGCTGGCCTGTCTGCTGGGGGGGGAAGGTCTGGGCTGCTGGAACTTAATTTCATGTTTGGACGCTGTGCTGGGGTCGGGGTAGGAGCAGAAGCCAACATCACCTGGGAGGGAATCGTGGGCTCCGTGTTCATAGTGAGGTGAGGAGGAAGCAGCTTCCGGAGGTCGGGTGGACACAGGGGTGTCATTCATCCTTGCCCTGCGGCCCTGGGAGCATCTGGGTCTGGGATTTTCACGGTATCAGCCTAGACCTCATCCTCGGGACTGGGCTGTGTGAGGGGAGAGAGAAGGGAGGGACAGGGTAGGACAGGGTCGGCGGGCACCCGGAGGAGGCCTCCCCACTGCCCGCAGGCTCCTTCTGCCCAGGCGGCACGTTCACGGGCATCCCTGACCCTGACCGGGGGGGCCTGCCCTTTGCCTGTCAGTCACTCCACTGGCTCTAGGCGAGGGGCGGGCGTCCGTCCCTGGGCTGGCTCTGTGCGATGGCTGGCGGACCTGCTGCTCTCTGCCGGGGACTGTCTTCCAGCAGATGCCTCGCTCCCTGTGTGACATGGAGCCATCCGCTCCTCTTTCCAAGTGGAATCTTCCTGGTTCAGGCCGAGCCCCCTCCAAGGCTCGAAAGCAAGTTGTCTGTGTGTGTGCGTGTGCGCACGCGCGTGCACGCAGAGAAATAGAAATAATCTTAGATGATGTGTAACTTCTTACCAAAATGCAAACCAAATATCATCTTACAAACACATACACATTTTTTCCGCTGCTGTCTGTGCAGCGCAAGGTTTACCGCGTTCTCCCACATGTTTGCAGAGTGTTCCCCGCGTCTTCGTGGTGAGCTGAGCACGGGCAGCTCACGGGCTTGTTCGAGATGGGGTTTCTACGCCAGCTCTTGGTTCCCCATTCGGGAGAGGCCAGGTGAGGGTATTCAGATGTCTGGTTCTCCTTGACAAGTGTCATTTGGTCAGGGAACACCTTCATACTTTAAATGCAGGCATCCAATACCGAAGATCTGACAGGGGCCATTCACTGAGCCGGGGCGGGGGGCGGGGGGCGAGCGTTTCATCACAAAAGGTCTACACAGATGTGGGGGCAGGGGGAAAGGATGTGGAAATCCAGCGGCGGAAAGTCGGGGAAATTGCTACCTGATAACTTTTACATTTCTGTGAAGAAGTTCACGTCACCTGTTTATGATGAGGAGAGATATAAGTCTGGTTTTTAAGAAGGTGGAGTTTCAGTCATTGCTGAGAATGAGTGATCGAGCTAACGGTGGAGCCTGTAGTACAGTTGTTGGCAGAGCCGGAGGCCCCGTTGGTGGCAGCGATGGCTTATGATACCCGGCTGCCTACGTGTCGGCGTGTCCCCTGCAGGGCTCAGAAACCTGCAGCCTGCGGCTGGGGCGTCACTGTCATCTCAGATGGAGGGACTACAGTACAGGACTCCGGGATGCTGGCCAGGGGGTCCTTGAAGAAGTGGACCAGCACTGAATTAGCTTAAAGTAAAACGTCTCGAACAGTGCCCGGGGGACGCTGGGCTCCTACACATTCATTCACTTTAATTCATTGCTATTGGCTGCTCTAGATGGTTGGTGAATAAACCAATACAATTAAAAGGCTAATAATGCAGAAAAAAGTAAATCTGTGCAACTCGGGTGTTAAAAACCAGTCTTCAGAAGTTTCGTGGGACAGGGTTTCTGTCCGGTGAAGCGCCGGGAGCCTCGGCTCTTCCTGCTTCGGTGCTGGATGCGCACAGACAGGGCCACTGGGCCGGGAGTGCCCCGCAGTCGCTGCTCTGGCAGCGAGCTTGATTGGTGGCCTGAGCCCGCGTCGCTCACTGGGGGCAGCCACAGGCCCCTTTGCCACCTGCCTCCTGGAAATTGACTCCATGGGCGGCGCCTCTCGGCAAAGCTCGCTGCCAGTGACGCTGTCGACCTGCTGTGCGAAGCCAGTCTTTGACCCGTCAGGCTGCAAGGGGTTGATCCAGCGGCCACGGGTGATGGCAGGAGGCCCTAGGCCGGGCTGTGACACTGGCCGAGGAGTGACCTCGGGCCCAGGGAAGGGCACACAGGTTTGCCAAGGGCCTGTCATGTGCTAAGGCCTGTGGCAGGCACTGCCCGGCCGTCTCCTTTCTCCACGCACATCACCCCAGGCTCCCACCCTTTCTCTGGGACCGGGGCACAGACGTCAGTGGTCTTCACGCTGGGCTCGGTGCCCTCTCCACCCTTTCCACCTCTGACCCGCAGACTGCTGTCTGAAGAATGGCTTCCCAGGTTAAACGTCGCGCAAGCACCGGTTCTGATCCCTGCAGCCCCCGTGACCGACTGCTGGCTCTCCTGCGGGTGCTCGCTGTGGCTCCGATTTCGTACCTCTCTGGGCCTCCCTTTCCCTGTGTGTGGGGTGAGGGTGTGGATCAGAGACGCTCTGGCCTCCATGAGCCTTGATGGAGAGAGGATGGGGACCTCTCGGGCTCACTTAACCCCATTTGGCCGCAGGCCGGAAGGGCCAGGGACCCCGAGGGACAACCGTCCTGTGCCATGGGCCTGGGCACGCGCGGCTCGGCTCCAGGGCCCTGGTCTGGTTCCATTTGTCAGCAGCAAGTCTCGTGGCTTCTTCCTGTTTCCTCCTCCAGGGACCTACGAAGGGGTGGCTAAGTCCAGTGCAGCCACCACACGTCAACCGAGGGCCAGGGACCAGGACAGGAAGAAGGGCAGCCTCACGTCCTCCCTGAGGATGGAGCCGCACAGCCGATCTGGAAGGAGCAGAAAAGCCACCAAGTTCCGGTCCATCTCCCGGTCCCTGGTCCTCTGTAACGCCAAGGCCAGCGACGACGGCTCCAGCCCCGACGAGCAGGGCCCCGGTCCCTTTGAGGTCTCGCTGGGTCGGGGCGAGGAAGGCGTCTTCCACTCACCTGTGCAGCTGGCAGACACGTCGGAGGCTGGGCCCGGCAGCGTCCCCGATCTGACGCTGTGCTCTGAGGCCGCCGTCCGAGCCGCTGGGAGGGACCGAGGCAAGAACGGCAGGAGGATGTTCTTCACGAAGGTACTTCTGGGACGCGGGCTGGTGTCTGGTGTCATGAGCTGGAGGCTTTGAGCACTTTTATTCCAAAGGCAGGAAGGCACAGGGTTCGCATTCCGAACAAAAGCCAGGAGAAACTTGAGCAGGGTCCCCTGGAATGACAGCAGTGAACGTGGTAGTGCCTCAGGCTCAGTCAGTCGATGTTGCCTGAGATCGGGCAAGATACTGTGTCGGCTGGAAGTCATCTGAGCCTTGGTCCCTGCCGCAATGTGCTGGGAAGTTCTCGGCTCCCGACAGGCCGTATGTGGCAGACCATGGGCAGCTCACGTCACTCCCAGCGGAGAAGCTGTCAGGGCCTGGCTTCCAGGGCCGGGTGGAGGAGGGCGCCTTACATCAGGCAGGGCAGGGGCCCCGGATGCGTGAGTGCGTGCGGGGAGCGTTCCCACGTGCCTCCTGTCTGGTCCAGCACGGGCGTGAGTACCGAAGGGGCGCGTGGAGCCCCAAGGGAAGCGGGGACGGAAGACCGAGTGCCTGAATTCAGAGTGTTTTCTCTTGTGCTGGGACCGTATTTCCGTTTTGGCTGTCACAAGGAGGTCGAAGTTGCAGGGTGCCGTGAGATAGAGGCCGACTAGAGAATCTGACCCTCCAGTTGTCCCTCAGGTGCTGGGCCTTCAGCCTTCTGTTAGAGGTGGGATTTCTCAAGGGTCTGGACAGCCCCGAACCTTGGAGCTAGGTGGGTTCACTCGGTGACGGGCCAGCCCAGGGGTTTCTCCCACACCCCACTGGACATCCCACTGGGCACAGGCACGACTGTCAACAGCCAGCAGGGAAGGCGTCCCAGCACCTGCGGAGGACCCGGTCCCTTCGCACAGCTGGTCTCCTTGAGAAAATCATGGCTTAGCATGTGTCTGATGAACAACATCATGTGACAGGTCGGGGGTCACATGGAGAGGACAGCCCCAGTCATCTCCAGACACAGGCAGCTTCCTGCAGGGCCCACGCGGCCCAGGCTGCTCCATCCCCCGCGATGTGACTCTATTGCAAGTTTGGGTGGAAGGGTGGACCCGCAGCCCCGGGGGGTTGGGGGAGCCCGGCTGGGCTCCTGGTTTGCCATGAATCGTGTGACCTGTTCGCAGTCCACCAGCCAAGAGTCAGATGCGTTAAAGACGGTCTCCATGACACAGGTCAGAGTGCAGGCAAATGAACTCAGAAATCGTCCCGGGAGTGCAGCAGACTCCACGACGAATGTCTCTCGTTTCCGCTTCATGGTGCGCGTATGGCCTGAGCACCTGTTCTGCGCCGGACACCGTGGGGACGTTGTCTAAAGCAGATCGGGAAAAACATCCGGGGGCTGTGGGGGCTCCAGAGGAGGAGGGGGCCGTCCCGGGGCCGGCGTGAGGGGGCACCGGGCTGTGCCCACTCGGGTCTCGGGCGGAGCTGGGCAGACCGTCTGTGCCCCCTGCCACCTTGGTCCTGGTGGGGCGAGGTGCGTATTAACTTTGTGATGTTCAGCAGTGAAGGGCCCTGAAGACCAGTGAGCAGGATAAGGGGGCAGGGAGCGGCAGCGGGCTCGCTGCCTTTTCTGAAAAGGTGGTGACGGAGACTTTTCTAAAAGTGGCATTTGAGCAAGGAGCGGAGCAGCGAGTCACGTGAGCGTCTCAGGGAGGAGCGGCCTGGCAGAGGGGACAGCGTCAGGGAGGGCAGGGAGAGGGGGAACGGTAGGAGATGGAAGCGGGGTGCTCGCCGTGGCCAGGCTTGGAGTGTCCTCAGAAGGAGAGGAGGAGATGGAAGGCTGAGCGGGGGACTGGCGTGCTCCTTGCCAGGAGCGCTCAAGCTGCCGGGCGGGACGGGGCGCAGGGCTGCGTCAGGGAGCCCCGCAGCTGTGCTGAGGGGGCAGCAGGAGAGGACCGAGTGGGGTCGCGTCGGGACGGAGTTTCCAGGCAAAGTGCACAGGACTTGCGGACGGCAGGATGTGGCGTGTCGAGTGTGAGCGAGGGACGGAGGCGAGTTCGTCTGCAGGTTTTGAGCCTGCGGTTCGGGTGAAGGAGGTGCTGAGCTCTGAGTCCGAAGCTCTTGGGGCTGGAAAAGTGGTCAGCAGCAGGCCAGAGGTGCCCGGGAGGACAGTGAGCGGGCCAAGGGGACTGCACGGGCAAAGGCCTGGGGGGAGGCGGCCCCGTCGGGGCCCCGGGCAGCGTCTGGCTCCGTGCGCGGCTGTGGTCGTGCAGCAGGAGGCCGGATGCCTGCGGAAGCCCTGGGACCGCGTGCAGGGGACAGTGGTGCAGGACAAGCTGCCCCTGGCCATCGCCTCGTGCCTCATACATGCACCACACTGTGCTTTAAAACACGTTCCCACGGGTCCCGTCCCGTTGTCTCCCCCAGCAGCCCTGGCAGCGAGGTGGCCACAGCGCTGTCGCTGCGGGGGCAGGGCCCGTGGCACCGAGGGGCCCGTCACACTGCCTGCGCGGGTGCGAGTCCAGCTTTCCCACTTGGTACCGCATGGTCCCTGGCAAGCCGCGTCACCTCTCCGCCTCGGCTCTCTTACCTGCGAAACGCAGAACCTTACTGACGGGCGTCATCTGGATAACGTTATGATTAACGACTCGTGAGAAAATCTCCCTGGAACAGCCCACCGCACCCAGCCCTTGCTCGATGAGGATCGTTATTCTTCCTGTCTTGGGATGGGGACACTGCGCGATCCTGAGCAGTTAGGTAGTTAAGGAGTTCGGTAGCGTGACGAGTGCTTCCGTGTGCCAGGCAGTGAGTCGGAGCCCCCACGGTGCTCACAGGCCAGCGAAGGAGACGGACGAAGCGGGCCATCCCTCTGTCCGGACGTGGGAGCGGGAGTGTGGGGGAGGCCAGGGGCGCGCTCAGCAGGGACGGGCAGCTGCGTGTGGGGAAGGAAGTCCCCAGGTGCTGTTGACAGTGGGACACCCAAGCGAAGCCCACCCTGGTGAGGGGTCTGAACACGCGGAGGGCGTGCCAGGGGCTCAACGCTGGCTGAGCGTGGGGGGCGGGGTGACGTGCAGGTGGACTGAGGAGGCAGAGGGCGCTGGCCACGTCAGAACCTGCTGTCTTTTCCCTTTTTAAGCAGCACAGGTGACCCTTACCTGTCCATTAATGAGTTGGAAGCAAGTGAGGGATTGAGCTGTCTTGAGCAGGTCCCTTATCAAAAGTGCCAGGGCAGAAAGGTCAAAAGTGACAGCCAGTCCCGACGTCCCTTTCTTGTGGAGACCCCCTGGCCTCTGCCCTGCATCTCGCCTGGCGCTGCACCCAGGCGAGACTTAGCTGGGCCTCAGCAACGGCACGGTCACACTGGTTCCAAGACAGCATCTGGAAGGCGGGCGGTGACATCAGCGTCTCCTCTAGAAACGCCCAGCGTGAATATGAACGACGGGGAAGTTACAAAGCCCAGTTAAAAAAAGCCTCACTGGCTGTGTTGTGCTTGGCACAGCCTGGCGAGTAGATCACGGCCCAGGGACGCGCAGCCAAGAGTGGCAGCGCCTGGGCTGTGTCCTCCCGAAGGTGCCCTGGGCTCCTCCTTCAGGGGCACTGCCAGGCTCGGGGAGGAATTCAGATGGGAGGACGTTAAAGGCCAGACTCCCTAACCTAACGGACAAACACACAGCACTATTTATAACTCAGACCTTTGCGGAGGCTCCGGGGCTACTCCAGACCGCCGTCTTTTTCCGAAGGGAGGGAGCATTTTAGCGTGCCACGGCCACGGGGAAGGCCAGTCCAGTGGAGCCGAAGTTCACTCAGGCTCCCCCTCTTCCTCTTCCTTTCTCCCTTTGTCCCCCATTCCTTTCCTCCTCCTCCTTCAAACACCGGGGAAGCACCTGCTGTGAGCTGTCCGCCAGGGAGTAAGAAACAGGATTGTGCCCTTGGCGGTGGAGAGGGGGATGGGTCCAGCTGGATTACTGTGACCGAGAAGCAGTCTGAGAACAAGGAGCGAGCTCAGGTCGAGCTCAGGTCCATCCTGTGCACAGCTGCCCACGGCCCTGCAGATGGGCACGGAGGGCAGAAGAGGGGCTTCCTGGAGGGTCAGGAGGGAGCCAGAGGGGGCGCAGGTGGGCGGGCGGAAGCCCGGAAGCGGGGGGACACTCATCCCGCAGGTCTAGCCTGGCCTCACGTTTACGGAGGGATCTTCTTGAAGGAGCTGTCGTCTTCTGAACGATCATGAAGACACTTCCCCAAGCTTCTTCAAGAAGCTTTGTTTATTACCTTTCATATTTGAATCTTAAATTCACATGAAATAGATTTTTCTGTGCATTGTAAGATAGAAATGAAAAATAGTTTTGCTCTCCAGCCGACCTCACACTACTTTCTGAAATGCTTGTCCTTGCCCCCTCACACCGCGTCGTCCTTTTTATGAGTCGAGAACCATGTCTGTCTGTCTGTCTGTCTGTCTTTCTGGACTCCTTTCTGATCCATTAGTCTCGTTTTATTTTTCCTTGCAGTGATGTCGTAAAGTTTTAATTTTGACAGGTCTATAAGTTTTTTGGTATCTGGGAATGTAAATCCTCCAGCTTTTTTCTTCAAAGTAAACTTGGCTGTTCTGTTGGAATTTTTATTGGAATCGCATTGACTCGATAGATCTATTTGAAAAGAACTGAGTCTTCACAGTGTTGAATCTCCCAATTCTTTACATAATATATTTCCCCAAAGTGTGACTGTAGTTTTGGGGTTTGTTTTTCAGCATACACAATCATTTTTTGGCCACTTAAAATTTTTCTCCATTACAGTTCATACTCAGGATTACATTAGCTTCAGGTGTGCAGTGTAGCGAGCAGACCCTTACTTAACTTAGACAGTGACCCCCCGGCAGGCCCACTGCCCACCTGGCACCACATGCAGTTGCCACGATATTACTGACCACATTCCCTCTGCAGCCCTTTGCACCCCGTGACTGTTTCTGTAGATGGCAGTTTGTACTTAATTCCTTCGCCTTTTCCACCCACCCCTCCGAATCCTTTGCCCTCTGCTGACCATCCGCTGGTTCTCTGTATCTACGAGTTCGTTTCTGT